GCATTTTGTCAGAATAGATGGAACCATGTCTTGTTCTGTGACTGGGAATGCTGGTGTTCTTCTTCCCTTTTTCTAATGTTTTATAACGACCTTTCTTCAACTTCATATCCTATTCACGCTTTTGGCGATGACGCTACTCTACACTCTTGTTTGTCCTATTTTTCTTCGCGCATCCCTAACTCCAGCATTAGAGACAATTGCTCCTCCCTCAGCCTTATCTCTGCTTGGGGCTGTAGCAACCGTGTTCTACTCAATGCCAGTGAAACCTCCCTTACGCTGATTTCTCTCAAACGCTCATCTTTCACCCCTTCCTTGAATTTCAACTCGAACTCTCTTCGTTCCATGCAACCTATTGGGTATTACATTATCTTCTTATCTTTCAGGGTCACCTTATATTTATCTACTTGTTTCCCGCGCTGCGCGCAAAATCAGCTTCTTCTTCCGCGCCAGGCGCTTCTTCACCCCAATTCACCTCCTCTCGCTTTACAAAGCTCAGATTCACTCTACACCTGAATACTGCAGTCATGTGTGGGATGGAGCTTCGTCCACCTCTTTTTCTCTTCTTGATCGGGTTCAACGTAATGCTATCCGTCTCATCAACGACCGAAATCGAAATTGCAATCACTAGCTCATCGTCAGGCAGTCACTTCTTTCCCTTAGTACTATCGATACTTTGCTTTGATGAACTTTCCGTGTCTGTCCCTCTCCTGCTTGTTCTTCCTCGTAGATCCGGCGCACAAGCAGCTAGCCACCCATTTCACATGACTATCAGGTGTCGTATTTCTCAATTTCAATCATCTTTTTTCCCAGGAGAAGCACACCTGTGGAACACTCCCGTTATCGGTCTTCTCTCCAACGCAAAATCAACAAACTGGTTACGGCTTGCATGTTCCCCATACCTTCCCACTTACAGTATATCTACGGATCATGGGATTTACCCCTTTTACTGTATCCACTTTTGCCAGATCTTAGTTTAACCACCCTGAACCGTTTTCCAATCACTACCTGGCTCAACAAACATCGCTCGTTGGGGCAACCTATCTGGTGACATGCGTAGCACATGTCCATGTAATTTATGAAAGTCGACTACTTGCTCCAGTGGGCGACCGCGGTTGCTTAAAACTTTGCGCCTGACCTCAGCATTGCTCGTCCGGTGACCCCACCGGACTCGTGCAATGCGACGCAGACAGCGGTGTTCAGTCTATCTTTATCCTCTTCCCGTAACGGTCAAGCCTCTGCTCTATGTAACAGAACTAGCCGAACTGCTGCAGCATACACTCGACCCTTCACAGACAGCCGGATCTCGCAACGACGCCCCAAGTGGCTCGAGTTGGCAAATGCCAACCGAGCCTTCTGTATGCAAGCTGACACTTCGTCTGTGATGCGTCCACTGAGTCAGATGTAGCTGCCCAAATAAAACTTATACACCTGCTCTATTACTTCCCCAATTAGAGTGATGCTGGGTGCTGGATCAGCCCAATCTTGTAGTAGCATTTTACACTTTGAAGGTGCAAAACGCATACCGAACATCGCTACAATAGCACTCAAACCTTCCAGAAAAGCTTGTAACTTACCTGGATTATCACTTAGTAGCACAATGTCATCTGCATATTCTAGATCAGACAGTCTGCCACCTGGAAGTAAAACGATACTGCTATCCTCGCACGAAGATAGGGCTGTTTCCGTAAGCAGATCTAGACAACACAGCCTCAACCAGGTCTGAAACGAGCCTGGTACTCACGCGCACACAGTTCACGTGCGGCAGACAATCGACGGAGTATGATACCAACGTGATGTTCCTCTGTGATTTTCACAAGAGGATCTATCACCTTTCTTGTAAATCGGTATGATCACCGATTCACACCATTCAGTTGAAACCTCTTCCCTCTCCCACAGTGAACCCAGGGGTTTCGTTAACTCCGAAAACAATGCTAAACCTCCGTCCGTAAAAACGGATGGAGAGAGAGCCCGTCTGGGCCGGAAGCCTTATGTCATTTGAGATAGCTTATTCCACGGGGAACCTCCATTTCATATAGAAGACTGATGTCAACTGGCAGTATTTGCACAGCTGAACCGGGCGGTGGGAGGTCTTGTCGAAGGGGACCAGTTGAACTGTGCCTAAAAATGTTCTGCCCAACGTTCAAGACGACGTTCCTGAATTTGAATCAGTGTGCCGTCAGACTTCTTAATTACCTCACTTACGCCTGCCTTCCTTGGTCCTGTACTCCTAATTAAACGAAAAAGATTGCGACTATTATCAATAGCCGCAGCCTTCTCCATCTCTCTGCACTTTCCTATCCACCACTTCTCGCGATCATTCCTCAGACTCTTGATGAGCTGGCGTTTAAGGGATTTCTGCGCTTTGTTATATTTTGAATCAGAAGGAAGGGCTCTACGAGCGTCCAGCAAGGCAATCGAGGTCGGGGAGATCCATCGCATTTTATCTGATCGTGCGCCAGAGTTCGCCGTTGTTTTGATTAAAATTTGGATCCCTTTCTTGATTGCCGACCAGTGTTCATTGAATCCTCCGGTTGATGGTTGAGCTAAGAGGCGATCTAACAGTTCCGATTTGCAACTGTCGGTGATAGTGTATTGTGGGCATCCGTTTTCGGCGACTTTTCCGCGGTTGTTTTTCAGGCGTAGGGAGAATCTCGCTCGTAGCAGAGCATGGTCCGTGTCTACGGGTGTTGACCAGTAGGAACAGTAATCTTCAATGGATCTTCTCCAGCGATGGCTGATGGCGGTGTGGTCGATTTGAGTTCAGTGCTGTGAAGAAGTTGGCGGTCTCCATGTAAGGCGGTGCCGTTTTTTGTGCAAGAAGTTCGTGCTTGACAGAAACAGTCGGTGGTCAGCACAAAGTTGGAGTAGGCGTTCTCCGTTGTCAGTCCTGTTGGCTGGGATTGCATGCGAACCGCCAAGTAACCTCTCGGATTCGTCCAGGGATCCCACTTCAGTATTGAAATCTGCGGCGACTACAACAATGTGCGTTGATCGAGCACTTTGAAGTAGTTGAGAGAGGTCCTTGTAGAATTCATCTTCCATTTCTGGTGAACTGTAATCTGTTGGTGCACACGCGGATACGATGAATAAGCACCGACGCTTTGTTCTGTAGCTGTTGACGAGTAGTGAATCACCCAGATATACGGCGCAGTCGGCTGTTAACTGGGATTCAATCGAGAAGAGAACGCTCGGCTCCGACAATTCCAACACCAGCAACACCGTGAGCTTCGGGTACCGAATCGCCTGACACACGGAGAGTGAAGCGTGAGGATGAGGCTGGATCTGGCGAACGGAGGGAGATGACTTAAGTAGGATCTTGTATGCGTGTTTCAGAGGCAGCATACGTCTACATAGAAGGTTTCAAGGGTTCTATCGAAGGCTTGTTGGCCGACCTGGTAGAGTGTGCGGACATTGAATGCCGATAAGTGAAAAGGGGATTTTGGTTTCAAAAATCTGGTAGACTCTTAGTGGATGACCTTATTAGTTGAACGCTGAGTGATATCCGATGGGTATCGTGAACAGGAGGCATCTGGGATTATTCACGGTTGAGAATAAGAATTAGACAGATGGGAAGGACGATTTTCCAAATGGGTGCCTAAGACTTTAGGGTGCGACATACTTCGCGGTAGCCCACACCGACGAAGGGGTTTTTCGTTGGGAACCCTAACCGGAGCCTTTGACTCAAGAGTCTGACCCACAAGGCAGTAGGGCGTAGATCCAACGCGGGAGCGTGAACGGAGCGCCCGTGTGGGAGCTTCTAGAGACCTGTCACGCAAGGCCTTTGAATTTCGGTTAAGTTTGTTGTTCGCTAGTGCGTTGATTGTCAGTCCGCCTTTTGGGATTGGCCCTCAGCCTCGTACCCAATGAGACAAGCGGATTGTGGATGGGACAGCATCTGAGCGGCTGGGACCTGCCCAGCTTGGGCGGGCGGTAGCTGTTCAATGAAGTGCGAAGACTTCTCCCACCGTCGAGAGGAAGCCCCATGTACCCCGCTCCTACGTCCATCTGACTGAGTTTTTTGATCGGTAAACTGCCCCTCATCGTGTTTATTTGCTGGAGTGGCCCCTCCAGGTGCGTGTGGATAGAAGAAAGAAGCCAGGTGCCCAAGCAGCTGGCTTTGTGAGATTGATCGTTGTTTGGCCTCTACCCGTTGACCTTTCAGACATGATTGGATCTACGGCTGTGAGAAGCCTTCCTGTGTAGCTCGCAGGGTCATTGAGGTACGCAAGCCATCACACCACGTCAAACTGCAGTCTCGTGGTGAAGCACGTTCCGTAAGACTTAAAAATCAGGCAATAATGTGATGTAAGTTCTTTCACTTCTCTCCAGATATAGTCCCAAATGTCACCACATCGGAGACATACACGATTGTGCGATCAAGAGACTGATGGCGAAAGAAACTGACTAAATAAACTTGTTTAACCGATGATCTTCGTTCCCTATCGCTCTCCAATTGCGCNCTCTCCAATTGCGCAGAAGTGTGTTGGCTACACCTACTTGGTGGTAAGCAGCTCTAATGTCGTTCGATTCATTACCACGCCTAGCCTACCGCGGCCTCATGCGATTCGCCGCTTAACACTATCAATTGTGAATTCGATCCGGCACCACCCTGTGTGCTGCCTGCCGAGCGATCAGTCAGTGCGTCTGACATACTCTATCCGTTCCAGCTATTGTGCTTACCCACATCCTGATAGGAATACTACATAATTGGCGACCCTGCCAGGATGCCCAAGAAAAGTGTACCAGACGTCGAGGAAGAAGACGAAGAGTAGTCGATTTTTTCTGTACCTGCGAGATTCTTTTCGACAATACTGAGCTCAGTTATTGCGGGCGGTTTTGTCCGTACGAAGCTAACCCCTGCCCTTCCACAGCCGTCGAAATTTTCCATTGGCGATAACTTCCGAAGATAGGCTGCTGACGCTCAGAATTATGTGATTCTATTCCCACCGAACGAGAGGCGCATTGTGTTGCTGTCCCTGCTCAACGGTCAGGCAAAAGACATGGTCCGGGTTGAAGGCATACTTGACGGCGAGATCACGGCCGATACGTTCATCCAGCTACGTCGGTGTCTGTGCAACGATGGACTTCCGATTGAACACCTTCAACGATTCCAAGCAAGACGACAGTTACCCGGAGAACAGTGGCCATCGTTCATCCTCGAACTTCGTCATTTGGCAGAGGACGCGTTCCCCGAATTACCGGTGGCAGATCGCGAGGGTCAATCGTGCATCGGCACGAGAGACGGTTTCTTGCAACGAAAATTTCTAAAGCAACGCCCTACCTCCGTCGCGGAAGCCATGGAAACTGCCCGCAGGGTGTCCCAGATCAAAGCAATGGTTCGGTAGAACGATCAAGAGGTTCTCAGCACCATTGCACCGATACAGGCACCGAATGTTGACCCACGGCAGCCCCCATATTTCCCGATTCGGAGGTTCTACACTCCTCAGCACCGAAGACCCTTGCGCTTCGAGCAGAAGACATCTGTCGCTGACTGCGAATACTGTCCTCGTTTTGGCACGAAAGCCCAAGTTTGTGGGCATAATAAACCAAGTGAGTCCCCCGTCGCTTGTTCTTCTATACTAATCTATTTTATGGAAAATCAATTTGTTACCCCTGTTACTCCACTAGTTATGATTACTTCATGTATTAGAAGGGTACGAGCCTTGATTGACACTGGAGCTTCTTGCTCCCTAGTTCGCGCGTCGATAGTACCCAAGAATGTCGATTGTTCCAAACCCATCCTAACCAAGCTGGCAGCGGCCAACGGGACTGCAATAGATACAAAAAGTTACACAGCGGTTGCTCTGGCACTGGGGAAACGTACGTACTCACAGCCAATGATCACAGTCGACGAGCTTCCATGGGGTGCGATTTTAGGAATTGATTTTCTATCAACTCAACATTTCGATTGACATCCCACGGCGACGATTGACCATAGACGAGGATAATGTACCGATTTGTGAACCATACCTCTGTGGAGACAGGTCTTCCCATTTAGCGGGAGTTTCCGATTCTTCGTCCCTCCTGCCGTGTTCATCATCTGAACCTCGTTACAGTGAATTAAAAAACTGCTGGATGAATATAACGACACATTTGCCTGGATAGAAACTGAAATCAGGCGCACTAGGCAAGTACAACGTCACATTGACGCTGGTAACGCCTACCAGCTATGGTCGGCGCCACGACGTGTCCCCGTACACTACCAAAAACAGTTGAAACAGTTGGTCGAGTCAATGCAGAAACAAGGAGTTATCAAACCATCGAATTCCCCCTGGGCATCCCCTATAGTCCTAGTAAAAAACGTGACGGGACACTCAGACTTTGTGTTGATTATCGTTGGTTAAACGCGGTTACTAGAAACGACTCTTTTCCGCTCCCACGAATCGATCAGCTCCTGGACGCAGTCGGGGGAGCACGCTACTTCAACACGTTGGATTTAGTGTCTGGTTACTGGCAAGTTGAGGTCCATATAGAAGACAAGTGCAAGACAGCGTTTGTTATTTCAACGGGACCTTACGAGTTTGGGATCATAGCTTTCGGGCTGACAAATGAACTAGCCACATTCTAATGCCTCATGCATGTGACTTCGCTCGGAATTAATCCCCACAATCGGGTAGTGTATCTGGACGGTATTGTTTTTTGTGAGAAGACACTGAAAGAACAGAACGACAATTTTTGCTCCGCCCTCGAACGATTTCGTCAAATGGGCTAAAACTCAAGCCTGGGAAAATGTAAAATCCCACAACCAGAGGTTAAGTTTTTGGGATATGTTATTTATGCCCAGGGTATTCAGTGTGAGCCAAACAAAATAGAATAAGTCCGATCCTGGCCAACACGAACATCTGCAGATGAGTTACGGAGTTTCTTGGGTCTTGCATCTTACTACCGCCGTTTTATCAAGGACTTCGCACGGATCGCCCTACGCTGACGGAACTTTTAAAGAAGCATGCCCAGTTTATATGGACAACAGCGGAGGATAACGCCTTCATCGATTTACGCAATCATCTGTGTTCACCCTTGATCCTGGCCTACCCAGACTGTTCGGCAACTTCAGGTACCTTCATTCTTCATACTGATGCCAGTGATTTAGCTGTTGGTGCTGTCCTGTCAGCGAATGCTGGAAAACACGGAATGCGTCATCGCCTATACCGGTCTGTGACGTGTCAACGTCAATTATGCCATCGATCAATTCTCCGTCCCACTCGCCGGTGCTTATCTCTCAGACGAAGACCAGTGTTACGTCACCCACATACATATACACACACGCGAGCACTCGCCCGCTCGCACACGCACACAGGCACCACGACTCATTCCTATTGGTTGACCTGTTAGTCATTGTCCTATTGTAGATTGTCATGTGACGTATGATCATTCAGTAAAGCTACGTGCTCTGGACTATACGTGTTCTGCGCCTTGTCCTCCGGGCTAACTACGGGTTAGCTTGATTGAGACTGTAACACGGTCGAAGTCTGTCTAATCATCAGCGCAATTATCGCACCACCAGAATGGAGATACTAGCTGTTATTCATTTCGTTAAACACTTTCGACCTTATCTCTTGGGACGAGCGTTCCTCTTGCGCGCGGACCACAAGTCACTACTCTGGTTGCAGAAGTTACCAGACCCAGGAGATCAATTGGCACGCTGGCAAGAGAGGCCCGGCTTACGAATTTGAGTGCCAGCATCGAGCAGGAAACAAACACGGCAACGCTGACGCTCTGTCTCGCCGTCCTTCTTTTAGTATACACTTTCTTGTGATGAACAGCAGACAGGGTGAACCCCACAGTCACGAGGACCTGCTGTTCAGTGATGGAAACCGGTAGCTTAAGCCCCGTGGGACTTGGAGTGGTGAACCACATAAGGCCCCGATAGGTTAGGCGTGGTGTAGAACCGGACGACAGCAAAGCTGCCTACCACCAAAGTTGGGTGTCGGGGCTCGAACCTCGGACCATAGGGTCCAAATCACGCCTGTGACAGCGACTAAACCACTGCACCACCACCGCCCACGACCATGGCAACTGTCCAACATGCTGTGTAATGACATAAACAAACAGCAGATCCTGAATTGGAACTCCTACATGGCCGGTTAACGAAAGGTTTGCCACGTCCTTCATCACAAGAAACAGCTGGCTCGAGCTATAATACACGCTGCCTTTGGGCATTGTGGTCTCAACTGAAGATCATGGGCAGGGTGCGATATTACCAGAAGAACCAAGATTACCTTCGGCGCATTGTGGTTCCAATTTCGACCGTCGACCAGGTGTTGAAGCGTCTTCATGACGAGCTGGTTGAAGTGCGGTCCAGTTTTAGGAGTTTGGCGCGTGCATGTTGGACAGTTGCCATGGTCGTGGGCGGTGGTGG